GTAGCAGTGTCCACACAACAAACATAACTGTGTACATCTTAAACAACGACAGTGTTTTCTTAACTGTACTAAGTGCCTCTGATGATGGTTGTGTCTAACCGAAACATGTAAGGCAGAAGTGATAAAGAAGTGACCTACAAATTGTTACACTCGACGGACTTTCTATTAACATTGTGATTGATAGTGTAACGGACCAAAAATGAAACAATTAAAAAAAATGGTAATTATGTATTTGCCTCATGATGGCTTTATGAGCTGAAACATGTGGCCAAGCTAATTTTAGCCTTGACCTTTATATTGTTGTGTTGTGACAGTGTTTAATGAAGAAATTGAAGACTAATATAATTAAGAAACCATCATGAAGCACAGCTATGTTTGCTGACTGCTTCATGTTGGTTTCCCTTGATTGGCTTAGTTTTCGTCACTGAAGACGGAAGTGACATGTTGCTCCGAAATGTCAGTGGGCTTCCAATGGACTACACAGCAATATATCCCAGAAGAAGGAACTCGTCCTAATCACCAGTGTGAGAACGTCAAGTCCTACAATTATCTCTACTTCATTTCAACACATGACGGGTTTGTATAGCTGTCAGGGGATATGGGCTACATGAAGTGAATTGCAGCAGCTCTGTGCTCTACCCAGCCTCCTATTCAGTAGAAGGGGGCGTCCTTTTCCTGGCGGTAGACCGACTGGGGATGGTGTTGACCCCGCTGTCTCCACATGATGTTTAGATCCCTATATGGGGCCATTATGAGCCCGGATAGCGCAGTCGGCATAGCGACTGGCTACGGGGTGGACGACGGAGAGGTCAGAGTTCGAGTCGCATTAGGATCAAGAAATTTCTCTTCTCGGTGTCGTCCAGACCGGTTCTGGGGTTCACCCAGCCTCCTATCTAATTGGATATCGGGGGATTTCTTCCAGGAGGTAAAGTGGCCGGAGCATGGAACTGACTACTCACCTCAAACTAGTGACGAGGTCAATAAAAGATGGGTCTATACATCCACTCCTCTATACGCCTTCATAGCGTATTGCTTAATTAGATAAGCATAAGGAAATATTTACCTTACCTTACATGAGACAAATACTAGCTCTAATTTACTTCGAGCTGAAACTGAGTGCGGAATTAGAATGTAATATCTGCTTTCAGTTTCAGTGGCTTATACTGTTCGATTTTGAGAAGAAGGCATTGGAACTCCCTAGAAAATTTAGGGGCCTACGTCAAAAAATATTCAGCATTTAAAATAAGTTTATTTATATGAATGACATTTTTTATATTATCAATCGCCGTGTTCTTATTGAAAGCAGCGTTTCTGAGACTTGACTTGTCTTCATCCCCAGGAAAGGAGCCTACTCATAAGGTCAAATAAGTAGNTGACAGACATACCTTGATGTACATATACAAGCAACAAATGCAAAGAACTAAAATTCAAACAGACTAAATTTCGTTAAAACCACAGAAAACCAAACAGCAAATAAACAGATACATGAATAAAATAGCTGTATAGCACCAAAACAGAAACGGAACATTCTCATATAATCTAAACTGGATGGAATTGTAAATTTCTTAAAATACCCAAAAAGCCAGTTGTATTAATTTCCATCGTCATGAACTTAAATCTTATTAAGCTTACATATGTTTAACCGTATTTACTTCTTAAGCAGTTGTAAATGAAAATCCATAATATTAAAGGGAAATCATAAAGGAAAGAAGAAATGCACCCTGAAGTGTAGGGGAAAGGTGTGGCCTTTCGTTCAGAAGGTTTCGGATTTGATATTATGCTGAAAACTTTCCCTCACGCGTTAAAAAGTCAGAATTTTGTATACGTGAGGAATACCAGGCCTCCACTGTGGTCCGAATTCCATATTTAACTGCAAATCCCATCTACCGAACATTGATGATCATGATGATTTTTTTTTCTTTGGCACTACAGCCCCAGTGGGCCTAGGCCTACCTCCATGAACTTCTCCGTTCACTTCGGTTTTTCTAGATCTTACACATTCGGTAGGACTCCTTGGGCGTGTGATCAGCACGTCGCAAGGTCTCTACCTGTACACAAACACAGAAAAACGCACACACACAAACTAAACATCCATGTCCTGAGTGGGATTCGAACCCACGATCCAGGTTTCCAAGCGAGCGAAGACAGTACATGCCTTAGACCGCTCGGCTACCGTGACCTGCTGATCATGATGATTATCCTTATAATTATCACTGCGATCGTATCTTTGGGCGCAAAGCTGAAATCTCTTCCATTGAGCGCTCCCATGAAACCCTCCCGTGCCGGGGGGACAGAGGCCCGGAACCCAGGACAAGCGCAAAAGAAAACGTTAAGCGGAGTATTGTGGACAGTTTACTGGACTAGAATGAGTTAAAGTCACACACGCGAATGATAGACACTCGTAAATATGAGCGATAGAGTGGAACTCCACAGGAATGAATATTTTAACACGATATGTCAGATGTACACGTTTAAGTAGAATGAAATATGAAGAGGGCACGAAAAGCTGCAATACGAGACGGAATACAATGAAGAAAGAAACGGTAAGATAGTACACGGAACAGAGAACCACAAGTTAGTAAACAAGTAATGAAGTATGCGCCATGAGAAATGAAAAGGAACCGGATGAGAGGAAAACGTTTGTTGTAAGAAATTAAAACAGCACTGGGAAAAGAGAATGAAGAAAACGGAAAGGAATATAAGATTACTTGCTAGAAATAAAACTGGGAACAGGGAATGTTTCAAGAAGCTTTACTACTTGACGTACTTCTGACGCGACTAGCTATATATGGGTTTCTTCCCTCCTCTATTCCTTTCTCTTATGTAACTCGAAATTTCATTACTCTATTAAAAAATATGGGCTATTGGACCCCACACTGATCCATTCAAATTCAATCCATGTATTCATGTATTTCTGATATAATTAGCGAGAGTGTCAGTANGAACTCGAAATTTCATTATTCTATTAAAAAATATGGGCTATTGGACCCCACACTGATCCACTCAAATTCAATCCATGTATTCCTATATTTCTCATATAATTAGCGAGTGTGTCAGTAACTCAGATTATTCACAGTCGAATTTAGGATTATCAGTGAATTATGAAGTTTAAAAAATTTGGAATAGCGTAATCGTGACGTAACACGTGATTCTGCTTTGTAATTTTCTTGGATTGAGTGAGAAAGTCCAAGGAACACCTCAATCATCACAGCCAGATCGAGATTCGAACTGGTCACCTCCCGAACAGAAGTCAGAAGCGTTACTGCATACTAACTTGGTCGGTGAATCCAACTCATACATTTGTGCCCTATGCTATCATCCCATGTCTTCAAAGTAGTAGCCCAACTGTCCTTTGGGCATTTAGGTCAGCCTCCCAATTTCTCCCGTACTTGCAAATTTCCCGTCATACCTTATCATTTTTTGCGATTTAATCATCTAACAGTTTTCAGCGCGCTGTCATAGCAACCAAATTAGAACAAATGTGTAAAGAGACAGCCCAAGTGATGAATACACAGAGCCAACGAAGCGTGTATTGCTTTGGTTTCTTGCAGATCTACCTTCAGAACTTCCGACCTCCTTGACAGTTATGACGAGCCCCAAGTTTCTCAACTCAGAGGCAGAAAATAGTTCTGACAGCAACTTTTTCCCTTTCCACTCTCATTCTCCCGTTTTCTTTCCCGCGGTAATGACAAAAAAAAAATTCAGCTCATTTCCCCATGGACTCATTTCCTTGCTGCAAGACAATTTCGTGGGTGCCAGAGAAACCGCAACATGAACCATTAACAAATAAAATGGTACAATCAGGTTTTAACGAACTGGCTCATGACTGAATAACTATCTATTTATCTATTACCTTTCCCTCAATATGTCTATTTATCGCCTACCAATCCATTCCCTCTCCATTTACCGGCCTATTCATTTGTCTATGCACCTACCCATACATTCGTCAATATTTCTAACCGCCAAATCACTCATATCAGTTTTATCCAACCTTCTATGTCCCCTACTATTCACATATCTACCAGTCTGTCTACACTTCTATTTATCTATCCATCCTCCTACCTATCCACTTCATTATCTATTTATTTGTGCAGCCTTCTATCAATCACATTCGTCTCTCTATCCCCCATCCATTCACGCGACAACTATAATATTGCGAGTCTCATAACAGAATGAATCATCTTACGGCTCGAAAATCACGAAACTCGTAACAAACATTTGAGAAAAAAATCACGTTCACATTTTTTTTTTATATATATTTGGTTCATATTCTGATTTTTACCACTGTCAGAGTACTTTAATTATATTTTCAAAATACTACCAGTTCATTAATTTAAGTACACACAACATATGACACATTTTGTGCGCTATCGCATGGCCCCAGACCACGAAGGCAAACTTCCCAAGGGCGAAAAGATGGAAACCGTTAAACACTACCAAAATATTCGTACAAAAGCGCACTGCGACACTGTGGGAAAGTCTACTGAAGAAGCCTGGAAGGATTATGATGTATTTTGTAGACCTATATACCATCTTTTGTGGTCTAGTGGTCAGAGTTTCTGTCTACAGATCCAGCAGTCCGAATTCGATTCCCGGCGCTACCAGATTTTATGCGAAGTAGTGGGTCTGGAACGGGGCCCACTCAGTCTCATGGGGAAAACTGGGGAGCTATTTCAAAGAAATAGCGGCTCCGGTCTAGAAAACCGAAATTAAAGACCATGGGGATCCGTTTCGCTGACCAAGCGACACCATCCATCAGCAAAAGTTGGCACTAACTTTGCCGACAAGAGGCGGTCGCTGGGTCGGTATAGTTCGCTTGCGGACTAAAAGCACGGAGATTATTTTATTTTTTTTTTTGTATATACCATCTTTGCTGAGAAACAATAATCCTAAAAGTAGCCTTGGAGAGTTAAACCACAAGTGCTCGAGAGATATTGCGAAAGACAAAATATTTCGTAGCTCGAATAGCCCCGTAGAACAATGTTTTTCTGCCAGCTTACCTTAAGTTGGCCTCCATTTCAGTATTTCTTTGCCTTATTCACTGTGAACTCACCTGAAACAAAAAAAAAACAATTCAGATCACACGTTACATACAAATACACAAAAAGTCAGCGATGCACAACGTTACTATATCTTTTCAAGTTAAAAATATAATACAAATCAATTGAGGTTTTTATGAGTCAGTTTGTATTCATTACTTCTGTAAACATTAAAACATAGGTTCGCGACGATGCTTTGTTCTTTTCAAAACAAATATATGATTCATAAAACCATATGTGTACGTCTATTGTTTATTTTCTGTGAGCGTTTCACGTACCTGTCTACAGATGATCACCAGCGATCGCCATAAATGCATTTATATTTTTTCGTTTCAGACACAGCTCAGATTAACACAACTGCAGCTACCCTTGTTCAGGTTTCTGTATAGGATAGCATCAATGTTACTGCCATATTTTGCTTCTTGAATGGCCTCTTAACAGCTTTGTCTCAGTGTAACATACTGCACAAATTAGCAAATGTTTTCGATGATTGTTATAGGTGCTGCACAAACAAACATGGAACAGAGTCCGTCTCATAGGGATGTCCTTTCTCCGACGGTGGAAAAAGTAAAAGTATCCCTGTAACAGGCCGTGGGGACCCATAGGGTTGTGAGACGTCGAGGCTGTCACATTTTCTACATAATCGATTTACAGACGGCGGTGAGTTTTTCAGCCTTACGCGCCGGCCGCTTTTTATCCCAAAGAAGATTTCTGGTACTCATTTCTGTTAGAGGCTGAGTCGACCCCAGTGCCATAGTGCGGCCGGAAGGATTAGGTCAATTGAAAAAAATCCAATGACTTTATTGGGAGTAGAACCCGCGACCTTCCGGCTTGTAGCACAATGCCTCAACCAACTACGCTACCGCATGCCACCTAAAATCGACGGTTCATAGTATCTGTGTTCTTTATCTTCGACTGCTCAGTGCTAGTCTACCGCTTGCCGTGCAGAGGTTTTCCGAATGTCTGGACCTCATTTTAAGTAGGTTGCTAATTGCTATATGAACCGTCTGCTTTAACATTCAGCGATTTCCCATTTCGCCCACAGTGCACGAATGAGTCACTTTTGGTTTCGACTACCATAAAGTCACTGTGTTTTAAACAGTCATGGAGTGTTT